ACTTCGATAACACGAAGCCCCAAATTTTGATGTGGTTCAGGATTCGATCATAGCCATGAGGTGGCTATATAATGTTGATGAATGATTTTTCACATGCTTATGTCCTACTAACTAGAAGGTCAGGTGTGCTCTGAACCTACTGAGGTCCGGAGCAAAGGATTGGTGGAGATTGATGACACGGTTGTATTCTGATGAGTAGAGAGTTGTAGTTACTTGAGATTAGTTCAGGGAGATGTTCTGTACTTGCTACATTCCACGAGTTGAGCGAGAGTGGCTGCCACATGAGTTTTTGGATATGAGACAGGGTACAGAGTCGGTGACGGAGATCACCCGTATGTTCACTGAGAGGGGGATGTTTTGCCTAGAGTTTGCTTATGAGCAGGCTTAGATGACTTGTTATTTGAGCATGCTCAAGAATGACATCAGAAAGTTTGTTGCTACCCAGGGATGTGATACATTACTGGAGTTATAGGAGGCCACTAGGCAGCGTGAGCTTGAAATTGAATTACAGTTGAGAGAGCAGAGACAGGCCCCGATACAGTTGCAGTCGGCATCAAAGCGGTCCAAGACCGCTGATTCTAGGGTTGGAGGTCAGTGCGGCCACACTTGCTGGAAGTGCGGGAAGGTTCATTCGGGGATTTGTCGATATGGTAGTAGGTGTCACAAATGTGGCAAGAAGGGGCATTATGCGAGGGATTTTCGCTATCTCGCCCCAATTCCGAGTGTGAGGGTATGTTATCATTGTGATCAGGTTGGCCATGTGAAGGCCAACTGTCCATTTCTCACCGCCAAGCCAGCGTAGGCTCCCGTGCTAGCTACACTGAGGATTACTGATGGGAGTCAGGGTAGAGCAGAGATCTCGAGGGCTCTGGGACGCGCCTTTCAGCTTACAGCTGAGGAGGCCACGACAACACCGAATGTGGTAGCTGGTATGTTTCTATCCTTTATTATACTAATTATATCCGTTTTATGCTTACGTGTTTGTACCTATGTTAGGTAGTTCTTAGTGAACTCCTTACCTGTCCTGGTATTATTTGACTCCAGGGCAAGTCGATCATTTGTCTCTCGATCATTTAGTAGGGAGTTCGGTTTGCCTGTGGGAGAGCTAGAGTGTCCTTTGTGAGTCTCTATCGCCAACGAACATGGGATTTTTGCTTCTTCAATCTATTGGGGTTGCATTCTAGATATCTTCAGGGTATCCTTCCCCATAGACTTGATTCTGATTCCCATGGGGGATGTATGTGTGATTGTGGGAATGGACTAGTTGAGTCGCTTCGGTGCCATGATTGATTGCGAGGGTCAGTGGGTGGTAGTTAGAACCCCAAGTGGGGGAGAACTAGTTATCTACAGTGAAGGAACTAGATTGGGTTCATGGTTTTGCTCAACGGCCAGGACTCGACAGTATATTCAACATGGTTGTGCGGGTTATTTGGCGTATGTTGTAGATACACGAGTTAGGGATCAGATTTTTGTTTCGGACATTCTGGTTACCAGAAAGTTCATTGATGTATTTCCGGAGGAGTCACCGGAGTGCCTCCTGAGAGGTAGGTCGAGTTCAGGATCTACCTAGGGCCAGGTGCGGCCCCTATCGCCAAGGCATCATACTGATTGGCACCACCCGAGATGCAGGAACTGTCATCTTAGTTACATGAACTGATAGGCAAGCAGTTCATCTGTTCGAGCAGTTCTCTGTAGGGAGCGTCGATCCTCTTCGTCAGGAAGAAGGATGGTTCACTGTTAGAATTGCCGGCGTAAACGATTTAAACAAATAAAAGTATAAAATAAACTGCTTTATTACACTAGCAGGTAGTACAGGTAAGCATGGTCGAATCCTCAGGGACACGTACTAAAGTTTACACCTCTTTGCGCAAGGTGTGAACTGATTCTTGATGAATGCGATAAACATAAAGGGGGGGGGGTTGTTTTTGAAAATTAAACTAACAAAGATTGAAAATGACAAGAAAATGACTAAATTTAAAGTGATGAAAATTCAAATGAGAGAAAGCAATTTAAGTTTCGCAGCGACACCCCTAATCATATAACTAATCTTCAACACAATAATTGACTATGTACTTGTTTAAACTGGTACTAAAGTTCATTAACAAGCTCTAATGATATTTGTTACAAAAAATCGATTAATCAAAATAAGTTCTTCAAATTAAACCTAACTTTTTACTGAATTAACCAAACAAGCTCTTGATTAACAAAGAAAAGTTGCATTAGACACAGTGTAATTCCCAGTAAAGTTCAATACCTCTCATAAGCTCAGAGGCGTTAAAACTTTTTTGATCAATTCATATTAGAATTAACCCTAATCTTAGAAATAATTCAATACTTGTCACTTTTTACTAATTAGTCTAGACAATTACGGATCTAAACAATTAGATGATTAGAATGATTCACAAACTACTTAAGTGGCCAACAGAAACTGAAATCAAGATCATACATTCAATTAACACATAATTAATCAAACTAAACAGTAATCATAGTCAAACATAGTGCTTAATGATTAATCATACGAAAAGGTTACATCTTGCGAAACTGAAATCTGATTTTTTTAGCTGGGCATGGCTAAAAACGGATTACAAACAATGGAAATAGAGTCTAAACGATAAATCTTACTAAACTACGAATAAAAATCGAATCGTCTCCTTTAGATCTGCGTTCTTCACTTGGAAACCTCTGAAAATCGCCTCTGAATCGCCAGGAATCGCCAATTAGGGTTACTGGAAGAGTATCAGGCTGAATTTATACGTCTAGCTGTTAAAACATCGTACCTGCGATCACATGGGGTATACCTGCGATTGCATGTATCACCCAAAAGTACGTCGCGGGATTTTTTAATGAAGTACGTTGCTATTCCGACGCAAATTGACCAACCTATGACTGCAAGGACTATACCTACGATCACAAGTATCTCTTTTTTCTTTACTGATGAATTTTTTTTGGCTTGGCAAATCCTCGAAGGCAACCTACGATCACAAGGACATACATGCGATCGCAAGGACTGGACTTGCGATATCAAGTTACTTCTTTTGGCTATTTTGATCTTCTTTCCTCCTTCCAAGCAGTTCTGGATCATTTCCCGACATCCTTCCTTGGTCTAGACTCCAGTTAAGCTCCTAAGCATCCACGAACGCATCCCGAACTTGCGCAATCATGCATGTGCTCCAAATGGTCCTGAAAAATCATAATAAACGTGAGCAGTACGGGCATTCTTCAAAATAATCATGAAACACGTAATACATAAGAATAATCGGGAGTTAATTAACTTTTTATAATGAAATACGTCAGAAATTGTGCTAGAAGATGCATATAAAATGCATCTAACAAACCTCCCCAGGCTTACACCTTACTTGCCCTCAAGTAAGGAAAAAATAACTATGGAAACATAATTGGGGCTAAAGGCACACGTTTACTAAAACAAAAACTTAACTAACAAGAAATACCAAAGCTAAACATAAGACATGCATGCAAAGATGAAGAAAATGAATAATGACTAAAATGATATGCAAATGAAAAACGAACAACTAAAATGCAATATGCTTCTCTTTTTTTTTATAAATTTTCATTTAAATATATATATATATATATATATATATATATATATATATATATATATATATATATTCCTTTTACGATCAGACTTTACATCGATACTGAGCTCCAATCACTAACACCAAAACAACCATCCTGCTATCTTTCGTGTATCAAAGACTCCCAAGGTAAGGAAGGCCACAAAACGATGTAACACAATAATCCAACTCTAGTTTTATTTAAACTTTACACCTTAATTAGTTTTATGAGCGAAAATAACACAGTCGGAATCTCATGTCCTTAAGACTAGATGGCCAAGAATCAGAATCGCCGCATCCTTAAGAACCCACATGACCAAATCAGCTTTCGCCGAAGCAGCAAGGGCCAAACCCCTTAGGAGCCCGAGCTCTATGCTTTCACTTTTTTTGAGAGCCACAAGTATCATATCACACAGTTCTTTATTCGCCAGATGTAACTTTGGAACGATTCTAACTTGATTTAACTTTGATTTATACTTCGTTTTGAACTTTGATTTATACTTCGTTTTGAACTTGATTTCTTCAATCTTTTTTTTTTTGGAATTTCTTGAGGCTTCTTCAATTGAGCGTTTGAAATTATTTCATTTGGGTACTAGATATAACGTTGTACTCTTTCTTCATTTTGACTGTGTGGATCTGATACTTAAGCTCTCTGTTACCACGAGGGTAACGCGTGTCAACAAATAGGGTCATGATTTGTGGGTTCAGAGTTGCCGATAAAGATTCTTTTTAAACATTAATAAGCAAATCATCCTAGAGCTGTTATTACTGCCCAAAAAACGTTTCAGTACGCTACTTTTTATTATTATATAAGATCGGGGTCTCGAATCACGGTGTCTTGGATCCCCTGGTTATGACAGCTGATTCTACACTTCCAATAACAATCAAGTCGCTTCACATTTTTTTCATTTTCAATTTTCAATATCCCACTTCATGGAGCTATCGTATGTAAAGATCGTCATCATCTCATAATTTATTTTTACACAAAATAAAAATAAAAAACTAAGAAGAAATAAGATGACAACTAAAAGAAACATAAATGAAAAATCTTTTTTTTTTGAAATCAAAATAAAAACTTTTTACAAAAAGATAAGAAATCTCCGCAAGCTTAAAATTAAGCAGTGTCCTCAATGCTTAGGGAGGAGTGGAAAACGACTACTCGGACGATGGAGCATAGCGACGGAAGAACTGATCGCGAAAATCATCGAAGTTGTCGCGCAGACCTAAGAGCTCGTTACGATAGTCGGTAACCTGAGCGCTATACTGTTGATAGTCAAGGCGAAGACCAGTCATCGTCTGCTGAAGAGAAGCAATATCCCCACGAAGGTCAAGGTAATGCTGGTAAGTGAAAGGAGAGTTGGGGTGAGGGTAAGATGGATGAGTGGGTGGGGGCTGATCCTGAAAGTCAGTCTGCATAGGATCAGGCTAGGTAAAGGATATAGTTGTGGCGTCTGCATAGTTTGGGTGCTGAGTGGATGAAGATGGTCGATCAGACTGTGCATGCGGTTCCCTACGTGGGCGAGGTGGTAATTGAATGTTCGAAGAGAGCACCCACTCAGTCTCGCTAATGGGTTCAGCGAGAGCTATGTCATCAGGTCTAGTGACCTTGAAATAAAGGGAGCGACCCAACATCCAAACATACCCGCCTGGGGCCGGACGAAGCATGTGCATAAACCTAAGGGTCTGCAGGGTCAAACATAAAGAATCACCCGCGAAAAAGGTGTACACTGGAGGAGATGGCACCGTGAGGGCGCGGGCAATGACAGAAATCAAACCACCACAACGAATTGCACCGTGGGTGAGAAAGGAGATAACTCTATGGAAACGTTTGATGATAACATCACCAAAATGCGGGCGGTGCGACCTAGTGATCATGCACCACAAAAGAAAAAGCTCGGCTTTACCGGATTTCGTAGTCTCAATCTGTGCATAAATAATATTGCATATAACTTTCAATGCAATTTTGAGAATAGGGTGCATAATACTGGTCTGTACGGATGAGGTTGCATCGTAAAACGGCAGACTGGTAATGGAGTACCAAAACTCACGGACATCAAAACGGGGGGGGGGGGGGGATGGGATAAACTGGTGATAGAAGAAAGTACATAAATGGTCGACGTGAATAGTGTGAGGGGTGTTAAAGATACGAAAAGCTATGTTTCCCTCATGATTCACCTCACTAAGAGTAGCTAAAAACTCTCAGGTCAGTAGAGGATAAGTGGCAAAATCCGCAGATAATAGGCGCTCCCAGCCAATATTAGCAAAAAGAGTGTGAACACCATCATGAATATGGAGTCCCCGCATGAGTGAGCAGCTAGGGACCTAGGCCAGTGGCATAATCTCGCGGTCAAGGAGCTGCTGGTAACAGTCAAGTGCGTCCTGTGAACCTAAGTCTATAGTGACATTGTGTTGGAAATTTAGTGAAAATATTTATATTTTTTACTAACTTTGGACATATATAAATATATACATATGTTGTACATATAACGAACTCTAAGTGGGTTTGTGTTCTCCTCCATGAGGACTTCGAAACGATATATTATATGTCTAAAATAGAGTATAAGTGAATGAGATATCGATACTCAAAGATGGGTATTTGAGAATAAGTTTAGCAAAAGAGAGGAATGTGGGAATAAGTCCCACATTGGTAGAGAGACCAAACTCAACAAGGTTTATAAGCTTCATTGCATGGAAGGCTTACAAACTTGTGTCTATGGTTATGCTACAATTCCTACCCGCGCGCAGGGGGGGGGGGTGCAAATCTTGGTTCCTTAGAACAAAACACACCGAACTCATGCATGGGCGCGACCTGCGAACATGAATGCAACTCCGAAAACTCAGGCGTGCGATACCCTCGTTTTTGCTAAACTTGACAGTTTTGGTCCCTATTTTTTGAATTCTGTAACGGGTGCAATAATTGCTTAATTAATGAGATTTATTGTCATTAAACACTCAATCAATTAGTGATTTGTTTTCGTTTCACAATTCGACTATAAAAGAAGACCATTGCCTTCTCATTCAGACATACGAATGAATTTACTCTTCTTCTTCTTCCTTCTCTGCATACCTGCTTCCGGCGATCTTTTCAGGCAAGTGGTTATCTCCGGCAGTACACAATACTGTTTAGGTTGTTGTACCCTGGGAACAGACGGCGAATCTGTTTAAGGGAATCGAGTCCAACTCGAGCCTCAGCCACATCGTTTGCATCTAATCTTTCTTTACAGGAACCTCTCAAGGACGAAAATCGAAGACGTTATACTAACAGTCTTAAACAGAATTTATTCTTTCTTCTGAAAGCTCTCGTTTTTCTGTTCTTTTATTCTAAAATCGAGTTTCTATCGATTTTTTTTCCTATAATAATATATTTGATTGTCGTTGCGAATTTTTTCAGTATGTCTGCAACTCCCGTTGGTACTGGAACTCCTGTTGTTGGTGCTACCCCTGCTATGAACCCAAATGCACCAGTTCCAAACATCATGGCTAATCATGCTGAAAGACCTGAAAAATTTTCTGGCTTGAACTGCAAGAGGTGGCAACAGAAGATGTTGTTCTACTTGACCACCTTGAACCTGGCTCGGTTCCTAACAGAAACTGCTCCTGTAATTGCTGAGGGGCAGGCTGATGCTCAATCTGTGACTGCTATGGATGCATGGAAGCATTCAGAATTTTTGTGCCGCAACTATGTGTTGAATGGGCTAACAGATGCACTTTACAATGTTTATTGTAAAGTTGTAACTGCTAAGGAACTATGGGAGTCGTTGGAAAGGAAGTATAAGACAGAAGATGCTGGAACTAAGAAGCATGTTGTTGCTAAGTTCTTAGAATACAAAATGGTTGACTCGAAATCTGTTATGAGTCAAGTCCAAGACCTTCAGGTCATCATACATGATAACAATGCAGAAGGGATGGATCTTAATGAATCATTCCAAGTTGCATCAATGGTTGAAAAGCTTCCTCCTGGTTGGATAGACTTCAAAAATTACCTTAAGCATAAGCGAAAGGAGATGTCTGTGGAGGAACTGGTGGTGCGTCTTCGCATTGAAGAAGACAATAGAATGGCCTTGAAGAAAGGCAGTGAAGTTGAATCTTCTAAGTTCATATAGTGGAAGTTGGTCAAACTTCCAAAAGCAAAGGAAAGGGACCTCACAAAGGGAAAGCAAAGGGCAAAAACCTAGGCCCCAAGGCAGGAACTTTCAAGAAGAAGTTCAAGTGCTACAATTGTGGCCAACCGGGTCACAAGGCTTCGGAGTGCCCTCAACCTAAGAGGGAAAACCGTCAAGCAAACATGGTGAATGATAACATGGAGTTGGTGGCCATGATAACTGATCTCACGGCTATGGTTTCTGAAGTGAATCTTATGAATACAAATTCAAAGGAGTGTGGATTGACACGGGAGCTACTCGTCATGTGTGTCATGACAAAAGTGTTTTCAACACTTACAAAGAAGTTGAAGATGGTGAAAAGCTCTACATGGGAAATGCTGCTACCGCGGATATCAAAGGTGTTGGTGATGTCATTCTAAAAATGACTTCGGGGAAAGAAGTGAAGCTTAGGGATGTCTTGTATGTTCCTGAACTTCGTAAGAATCTAGTGTCGGGTGGTTTGTTGAACCAATTTGGTTTTAAGCTAGTGTTTGAGTCGGACAAGTTTGTTTTGTCCAAAAATGGTATGTTTGTGGGAAAAGGATATGCCTTGAATGGCATGTTCAAATTGAATGTAATGGTGACAAACAAAATGAATAATGAAAGTTCTAGTTCTGCTTATTTGCTTGAGTGTTCAAATGTTTGGCATGGTCACTTAGGACATGTAAATTACAATTCAATTAAGTGATTAATTAAACTAGAATACATACCAAAACTTAATATTGACTCAAATCACAAATGCCCCACATGTGTTGAAGCTAAACAAACTAGATTGTCTTTCCAAACAATCAAAAGAAACACCGAACCTCTTGATTTAATTCACACTGATGTGTGTGATCTAAAGTCAATTCCTACTCAAGGTGGGAACAAATACTTCATTACATTCATAGATGATAGCACAGAATATTGCTACATATATTTACTTAAGAGTAAAGATGAAGCAATAGACAAGTTTGTCTTGTACAAAAATGAAGTTGAGAATCAACTCAACAAGAGAATTAAAATGGTTAGAAGTGATAGGGGTGGGGAATATGTTTCTCCCTATGCTGATTTTTGTGCTAAAAATGGAATTCGTCATGAATTCACATCACCCTATTCACCTCAATCCAATGGAATTGCTGAAAGAAAGAACCGTACCTTGAAAGAAATGGTCAATGCCATGATAATTAGTTCAGGTGTAAACCAGTCAATGTGGGGGGAAGCTATTTTGTCAGCTAACTATCTTTTAAATAAGATACCTCGCAAAGAAAAGAATGAAACACCGTATGAACTTTGGATGGGTAGAAAGCCATCGTATAAGTACTTACGAGTGTGGGGGTGCCTAGCTAAAGTGGTAGTGCCACCACCTAAGGTACAAAAGTTACGGCCTAAAACAGTGGATTGTGTATTCATTGGGTATGCACAAAGTAGTAGTGTCTATCGGTTCCTTGTGCATGATTCTAAGAATCCTGAAATACATAAGAATACCATAATGGAATCAAGGAATGCTTCATTCTTTGAAGATGTGTTTCCTTGTTTGAACAAGGAAGTTGAAAGCCCATCTTTACCAAATAACGAAGTTGTTCGAGAGGAAGAACAAGCTTAATCCGAAGAGGAAGAGATAGAACCCAGAAGAAGTAAGAGGGCTAGAGTTGAAAAATCATATGGTGATGATTTTTTCACCTATGTGGTGGAAAGTGAACCTAAAACCTACCAAGAGGTGGTAACTTCTTCTGAGGGACCTCAATGGAAAGAAGCCATCAAAAACGAGGTAGAGTCTATCTTACAAAATCATACATGGGAACTAGTAGATCTACCTCCAGGTAGCAAGCCACTAGGTTACCGTTGGATCTTTAAGAGAAAGATGAGACCTGATGGTAGTATTGATAAATACAAGGCAAGACTAGTAATCAAAGGTTATAGACAAAAGGAAGGTCTAGAGTACTTTGATACCTATTCGCCGGTAACGCGGATAACATCCATTAGATTAGTTCTTGCCATTGCAGCTATCAGAAACTTGCAAGTTCATCAAATGGATGTGAAAACAGCTTTCCTAAATGGGGAGTTGGAAGAAGAAATTTATATGGAGCAACCTGAGGGGTTCATTGCCTCAGGACAAGAGAACAAGGTTTGTAAACTTGTTAAGTCTCTATATGGATTAAAACAAGCTCCTAAACATTGGCATCAAAAACTTGATCAAGTCATGATGGAAAGTGGCTTTAGAATCAATGAGTGTGATAAGTGTATCTATGTGAAAAACACCACTCATGGATATGTCATATTGTGTTTGTATGTTGATGATATGCTTATCATTGGTAGTGATGACAAGATAATAAGATCCACAAAGGATATGTTGAAATCCAGGTTCGACATGAAAGATATGGGTTTAGCAGATGTGATTCTTGGAGTGAAGATCACAAGAACCCAAAGTGGTTTGATTTTGAGTCAAACACACTATGTGGATAAAATTCTTGAAAAATTTGCTAAGGGAGATACTAGCATAGCTAGAACTCCAATTGACACTAGTCAACATCTACGTAAAAATAGAGGTGATAGTGTTAATCAAGTGGAATATTCAAGAATTATTGGCAGTCTGATGTATCTAATGAGTTGTACCAGACCTGACTTAGCATATGCTGTGAGTAGACTAAGTAGATACACTAGTAAACCCAGTTCTGAACACTGGAAGAGTATTACTAGGTTGCTGAGGTATGTGAGATACACACGGGAATATGGACTGCATTACGGAAGAGATCCAGCAGTTATTGAAGGATACACGGATGCAAATTGGATATCTGACATAAAAGATTCCAGATCTACAAGTGGATATGTGTTTACACTTGGAGGTGCTGCTGTAGT